CATGGAGGAAAAACATCATATGGTGAGTGAGTAAATGGTGGCAAAATATAAATTTTTTGGGTCAACCATAACCTTCGTTACACTTACGCTCGGTCTTTTGTTTTCAAACAGGGCCGTTTATTCGAAGTCTGAAACATAATGCCCTAAAATAGCCGTGACTTATTGAGCGAACAGGACTGCAGACTATCAACCGACCATAGCACATAACAACTGCTTGACAGGGGCTACAGGTCTTCAATAGGCTGAGTTTATGTGACAGCGTTTAACTCCGTCTCTGTAAATCTCTCCGCCTGCCACTGCGTGACCTGTGGAGGAAGGGAGGGCAGGTCTCAGCTCAAATGACAAACAATTAACGCGACTGAACATCATCTAATTTCCCAAGATTATCCACACGTGAACACACAGCAAATCGGCGTGATTGATGGATTTCATGGTTCTCAAGTGATGTAACATGGTTGAATTTGTAAGCCTGCCTCAGTTGCGCGTACGCGACGTTTGGCTCTGTTGTGACGCAGTTAACTGAATTATAATAGATGCTTTCCTGAACGGGGTCGGTGCGAGAGAAGGCCTGTAATTTTCACATTTAAGCACGGTGATTCAGTGATGAATAGCTAGGTGTTTTCACACGCTGCTAGGTCAACAGCTTTTTATGACAGGTTTGAAAAAGACTTTCTAGTGAAAGGCCGCTGATATTTTCTACAAATGCCATTAACCCGTGCCACATGATATTTACACGCTCATTTTTCAGATGCACGTCTTATATTTGATATGTATTCTTCATTCTTCATCCTGCTCTTAATCATCTTCTGTCCAGTGATTAAAGGAGTAGTTAGTGTTATTTTAGTATTATTTATATACTATTATAGCATTTATTAATATTTTTAATTAGCTTTTATTTATATTTTCAGTTTTCATTTTAGTTTAGTTTCAAACTTGTATGATGTTGATGCTGTTCTTTGGACAAAATGGACAAAAAAGAGAGAGAGTTCATATAACTTCAGAAGACTTATAAAACAGTACACAAGTTGTATGGACAATTTTATGTACTTTAAATGCGCTTTTCTGCATTTTTGCAGCTTCTCTGCCTTTGGAGATGTACTGATTTATATAATAGTGTATTAGGAAAAAGCCTGTCATAGGGGTTAGTAACATTATGATGAGTACCTTTTTGGATGAACTATTCCATTAAATGTGTATGTTTGGTTATACGTGTTTATTTGCACAGTTTGTTTGTATGCAGGCAGGTGTTGAGGTTAAAGTCTTCGCTACAGATTCACGTTAACCCTGAAGCATTGATTTTCTGTCCTCCGAATCATTTCTCTCAAAATGGATTGTTACCCCAGGACAGAGAAAGAAATAAGAAAGTGGGTAAATCGAAGCCTGAGTCAAGCTTTAGAAACGCATGCTACCATACTATTGATGCAGTTTGCAGTATAGATACTCTGCACAGTATGCAGATTTTCTGTATGCATTTAATACTCAGATGACCTACAGCATTTGTCCTTGCATGTCCATTATTGATAACTGGAACATTTCCAGTATTGATTGAACAATGTGCAGTATGCATTGTTACAAAGTATGCTACACTGTAATTACATGAAATGACTATGTTGCATGTTTAATTTAGCATCTGGTTAATTTAGCCAGATTATTTCACTGTTTTACTAGTTTTATGCCAAATTTTGTTGGTTTGATCAAATAACAAGGTTTTTGCAGACTCTTAAAAAGGTCTTAAAGTCTAAATCCACCCTTCCACAAATTAAGGCCTTAAAAAGTTCTTAAATCAAGGCAGAAAGTCTTGGTAACACTTCATAATTAGGTTAACATTAGTTAACTACTTTAGTTCACATGAACTAAGCATGAACAGCATTTATTAATCTTAGTTCATGTTAATTTCAACATTTACTAATGCATTATTAAAATCAAAAGTTGTGCTTGTTCACATTAGTTAATGCACTGTGAATTAACATGAACTAACAATGAAAGACTGTAGTTTCATCAACTAACATTAACAAAGATTAATAAATACTGTAATAAATGTATTGTTCATTGTTTGTTCATGTTAATTAATACATTAACTAACATTAACTAATGGAACCTTATTGTAAAGTGTTACCAATGTCTTAAATTCATAAAGTCATGGCAATAAACGTTGCATACGCTGCGAGAAAAAAAACAAAATCTTCATAAGTATTTTTGTATGGTTTTGCAGTATGAATTACTAAACTTCTTTAAGTCAAGATACAGTTAAATACTAGTTGAAAAATACTAGTTGAAAAGCAAAATGAAGATATGAAGTCTTGTTTTCTGAACAAAACTGAACAAAATAGAGCAAGTTTATGCTTAAAACAATAACTAATATCTGTCGACAAGGAATAAAAACTTGTTTTGCCTTTGAATTAAGTTGATTCTCTGCGCTCATTTGTTCATTTTATTCATAAACTCATTGATCAATTTCTCAGAAAACAAGACTTCTTGTCTTATGTCAAGTTAATGTATCTTGAGATAAGAATCTTTTGACATTTGTATTGGAAAACAGGTATAAAAATGCAAAAGGAAGGACATTTTATATGCTTTATATGCAAACGGTAAAATGGTAAAATGAATCAAAAAGTGATGGAGATCTGTTGGAAAATGCATTTTCAAGTTGCTAATATAACTTGTGTGAACCATAGATATGAATTATTTAGAGACCATATTGACATATTGTGTTCTCTTTAATTTATTCCTTAAATTTTCTTGGATTTACCTGCAGAAACTCTAAAATAATGCCCTAGAGAAAGAGACGAAATAGGGTCGATAATATTGCTTTGAGTTCAAAATGTAAAGTTAAATGCATTGCATTCTGAAATACAGTAGTTCTTGATGTTTGCATACTGTACATTTGGGCAAATGCAGTAAATAATTTCAGAGAATTCACGAACTGTGAACAATATGCATACTGCAAAAATAGAATGGAAGTATGCAATTCCCAAAACATCCTTGTTCCGCTTATGCTGGGAAGACTAAATATTTCATCTCCGCTGGTTAAAGGGGGATGTCATTGACACACATACACGGCCTTGGGTCTGACATAGAGACAGATAAAAGGGGAACAAGAAAGGGAGGACGAAGACAGAAAGAGAGGAAGGGGGAGGTGGGGTGTAATTGAGGGTTGTTGGTGTGTTATCGGTGGTCAGCGACAGTCCTGTGAACATCCCCGAACATTCACCCATCCAGCTCTCACCGGAAAAGTGCCTCCTTTTATTGCTTTGACAATAATGATTCCTGTCTGTTGCGCGCACGAGTGTGTGTCGTATATGTGCGAGTGTGTAGTCGCACCAGCCAGGAGCAATTTTTTGCAGCCATTAAATTCTGAAAGGTAAAAATAGCCACAGTGTGCCAAAATGGAGGGAAGCCCAGGAGAATATGAAGGAACGGATGGATTTACAGCAGGAGAGAGAAGAAAAATGGAAGATGGGGAAGTGGAGGGGGGAGGGATGAAGAGTATTAAAACCACTTTAGATGGGAGGAGAAGGAAAGGAAGTGAAGAACAAGAGATCATAATACCATATGACAAGGTTAGGACTGAAAGGAATAGCTCAGCTGAAAATGAAAATACGGGCATTGTTTACTTCACATTCATGTTGTTTCAAACCTGTGTGCTGTTATTTATTTATTTTTATTTTTTTGTGGAAAATAAAGGGAGATATTTCGAAGAATGTACACCATAGGGATGTTAAAAATTTGGCCTGAACAAATTTTCAGAAATAAGGTAGTTAATTAATTAAAAATAAAACGCTAAAAGCTCAAATTTGTTGTTTTAAATTTTAAAAACAAATTTAAGCATCACAACAACATAATATGAAAACTAGTATAATATAGAGTAGCATAACATAAAAGCTTAATACTCTTTGAGATGAGATTTAATAATGTTAAGGATTTAAAGATTCTAATACTTAATTTAAGAGATGAAGACAAAATATATAAAATAATAATATACTGCATATCCACATTTAATACATTTTATATATAAGTTTTTTATATATAAAAATAATCGCATCCAAAATAAAAGTTTTTGTTTACATAATATATGTATGTGTACTGTGTCTATTTATTAAGTATATGTACATACACACACATACAGTATATATTTAGAAAATATTTAAATTAAAATGAAAACTGAAAATATGAAAATAAAGCCTAATTAAGAAAGGAAAAAATGAAATCGCATCATATGACCCCTTTAAAAAGATAGTAGAGTCCACAGTTATAATGATAATAACACAGAGGACCGATATCACTTTCAGAACAATTTTCCAGCTGTTGAACGATAAAAACATTGACAGCCAATCAGATTCCACCTGAGCTTGAGCATTTAAAGCAACAGACAACAAAACTGCAGCATGCTTATAAAAAACTGAACATTATTAGTGTAGAGGGCAATATATTTACCGTTATAGTTATCGTTCTTGGTGTGAAAGGGCCTTAATTAAAGGGATAGTTCACCCAAAAATGATCATTTACTGAAGCACAAGTAGTTCCAAAACTCATACAGGTTTGAAACAATTAATTTTTATTTTGGGTTGAACTATCCCTTTAAGAAAAGCTGCGTTATATCTTGAACTGCAAGGTTTCATCATATAATCAACACAGATATGCACATGTACAACTGGCTAATGAGAAATCTATCATTTGGGTCAGTATACATGGTGTTTATTATGTTTGAACTAGTTTTGAGGATGGCACGCGTGGCATTTCTTGAGGATCTTCAGTCTTTAGTGAGCATAAACATGAGTGCATGCTTGTAAATCAGCTGCTGTAAAACAGAACATGTGCAGTATTTGTGCAGTGACGTTTGAGGAACGGGGCCGATATCCCAAACTCAACACGAATAATATCTGCTGCCTACTAACGGTTTCTCCTTCCTGTTTCCTCTCACTCCCGACTCTTACTTTCTACACTTTACTGCTCTCTCTTTCTGCTCTTTCTTTGTTTTGTGTGTCATTTTCTTGGTGAAGGGAAGGAAAAATGGTGGTTCTCTCTCTCGCGATCGGATTGGCCGAGCAAGACGACTTTGCCAATCTGCCAGACCTACAGGAAGAACCGCCCAGTCAAGAAACCCCCCCTGACAAGAGGTATCTGTCAAAGTGTGTGTGTGTGCGTGGAGAGATGTATTATATGTTTAACCAACCCACTGCAAGCGGTTGAGCACCTGCCAGAGAGCACGGCATTGTGGGTAATACCCATCATAGCGTGGATTTGCCACCGGTCCAGACACAGTGGTGCATTGCGTTCTCACTCGCTCTCTCTTTCAAGTCGTAATGAGAGCCAGTAGTTTCTCTCAAGCTCTGTTCCAAAACGCTAGTGAGCCGTCATGCTATCGACTGCCAACATAGGCAGCCAAATCTCACACGCGAGTTATTTGTAGTGCACTTCATAGGCAGCAGCTCTGCATGGCAGGTGAACCTCACAAAAGAGCTCTACTCATGAGAACCGACTCTTAATTGACTGTGCGGTAAAGTTTAACATTAGCATATTGCTAATCTAAGGGTGTTATAATCTAATAAACATTTGAAATAGAAAGTGTGCACAAGTTTTGGGTAAAATAGTTATCAGTATATTGATCTAATAAGTAGCCTATTAATACAAAATAATGCTAGAAAATGGCACACAAGAAGCGATTCTCGTTTGAGTACAATAGTTTGATGTTAGCATGTTGCTAAATAGCGATAATAATGAGAACTGCATGAGAAACAGTGCTTTCAATTGATTATTATAGTAGGACATTAGCATGTTGTCATGTTTACATGTTAGCATGTTGCTAAATAGCGATAATAATGAGAACTACATGAGAGACAGTGCTTTCAATTGATTATTATAGTAGGACATTAGCATGTTGTCATGCTTACATATTCTAATAAGCCTTAAAAGTATGTTGCACATACGAATTACGAGTAAAAGTCAGTTTTTTTTATTTGACTGAACTATTTTATCGATTCTTTTATTTTATGATAGCATGCTACTAAGTTAACTATGTAAGTTAACTATGTAGTACTCAAATTAACATAAAAATACATACAGGCACGTATATTAGTACATTTTTAAGTTTGATGTTAGCATGTCTAAATAGTAATCTACAGGAGAAATGGTACTTTCAGTTGATTTTATTATAGCATGACATTAGCATGTTGTCATGTGTACATTGCAATACTTTAATAAGCCTTAAAAGTATGTTGTACGTACAAATGATGAGAAAATAGTCAATCTTTTAGTTAGATTGAAATATTTTATCAATTATTTCCAGTATCGACGCAAAATGGCTCTATTTACAAGAATACTAACAATGCATTAATCAAATTAGCATCAAAATACATTGTACAGACAAGTTCTGAATAAAATAGCGCATTTTTAACCATTTATATTCCAATAGTTTGATGTTAGCGTGTGGCTAAATAGCAATATTCATGAGAACTACAAGAGAAACGGCACTTTCAGTTGATTTTATTATAGCATGACATTAGCATGTTGTCATGTGTACATTGCAATACTTTAATAAGCCTTAAAAGTATGTTGTACGTACAAATGATGAGAAAATAGTCAATCTTTTAGTTAGATTGAAATATTTTATCAATTATTTCCAGTATCGACGCAAAATGGCTCTATTTACAAGAATACTAACAATGCATTAATCAAATTAGTATCAAAATACATTGTACAGACAAGTTCTGAATAAAATAGTAAATTTTTAACCATTTATATTCCAATAGTTTGAGGCTAGCGTGTGGCTAAATAGCAATACTCATGAGAACTACAGGAGAAACGGCACTTTCAGTTGATTTTATTAAAGCATGACGTTAGCATGTTTACATCGCAATACTCTAATAAGCCTTGAAAGTATGTTTTGCTTACAAATGAGTAAAATGTTCAATCTTTTTAGTTAGATTGAACTATTTCATCAATTATTTTCAGTATAGACTCGAAACAGCTCTATTTACAAGAATACTAAAATTTATTCTGAAAAGGTTTGATGATAACATGCTACTAAGCTAACAATGCATTAACCAAATTAGCATCAAAATACATAGTACAGACGAGTTCTGAATAAAATAGTGCATTTTTAAACATTTATATTCCAATAGTTTGATGTTAGCGTGTGGCTAAATAGCAATATTCATGAGAACTACAAGAGAAACGGCACTTTCAGTTGATTTTATTATAGCATGGCGTTAGTGTGTTGTCGTGTTTACATTGCAATACTCTAAGCCTTAAAAATATGTTGCACATACAAGTGAGTAAAATAGTCTGTTTTTAATTCAGTTAATCTTTTCAATCGATACTTTTAGTATTGATGCAAAAAGCTCAATTTACGAGAACAAAGTTTGATGATAACATGCTACTAAATAAACAGCATAATGCTCAAATTAGCATTAGTGCAGATTGATTGTTTTCTTCATGAAGGATGTAGGCGCGTACTGGAAATATGCTTATTATGACTGTTATTAATTTACATTTTATTAAAACCTGCAAAAACCTTTCTGTCGAGTGATGTAAATAAATTTTACAATAGTTTATTGTGCATGCATATTATATTTAAAGTTGCTTAAGCGAAATCACGTTATTGCTTGATGACGTCAGGAACCGATGAATCGACTTTTTGAACCGGTTCAATGAGCCAATCTGTCCGAAAAGTACCGTTTCGCGGAAATGAATCAGACATTGCATCACTAGTTTCTTGCTGTGTTATTTTGTGGCTGTGTTATTTTCCTCCTGTCTTGTGGAACAGGGAACGCTCTGGATGAATGCTGTCTAAGTAGGCGTCTCGCTAGGTTTTGGAAGAGAGCTTCAGAATGGCTGATACAAAGTAAATTAACAAGCTGTACATTCGGTTGAATGTCGTTAATAAGTACTGAGCTCATTAATCATGCTAATGAGACTCACCTGAGGCTAACGGCTGTTTGAACGCCATTGGTGGCTGTGTGGGCCAGAGCTCAGCCAATGAGGTGTGAGATACAGTGACTTCCTTCATGCTGAGACGTGAACTGTTGTGATCTTGACTGCACGCCTTGCGTGTGCCTTGTTTATTTCTGTTTTTGGCATTTTTATCCCTATTTGTTCTTCTTTCATCTTCTGAATTTAGCATCAGATCCTTTTATCTCTGCTCTCCTTGAACACGTCTCCCAAGTTCACTCTTTTCTTTTATGCTTTATGTTGTATATTTGTGCTCTCTCACTAGGTGTCTCATTAGCTTTACTTTTCCCGCTCTGACATATGTTCTGAATGGAAACTACTGTGCAGTATGCAGTATAAGTTGCATGTGAAACATTGTACAGTATGAACGATAAACATTTCAAACAGATTGCTGCATTGTCACATGACCTCATGAAATTTAATAAATCATTTACATAAATGCGTACAGTATATACTCAAATTGTTTCAACATTTTTTTTTACTTTAAATGTACTTCTAATTGTAATTTAATGATGAAAAACAGTTAACAATAACTATAACAATAACTAAATAACTATATTTATTATATAATAAATAATAACCTATTTTATTTTATTATTTTTATTTTGTTAAAGTTTACATATAACATGTAAATAAATAACATATAACAAAATAAATGTAAATATGGTTTTGTAAACTGGATAATGTTTCATTATTCCCAAATTATGATGAAAAAAAAAATTTTTTTTGATCAAAATTTGAAAATGTAAAGCATTTTTACACAACATTGGATTAAATAATAAATCAAATTTACAAAATAACAGTATTTACATCTATTATTTTGAATGTAGGTATGTGCAAATAAATATGTATAAAAATATAAATGTAAATATGGATATTTTGTAAATTAGAAGAATTTTTTTTTTTCCAATTCAGATAAAAAAATTTATAAAAACGATTTTTATTAAATCACAGGTTGAATGCGCTTCTGTGTGTGTGTGTATGAATGCCTGTCACTTACATAAACATTCATTTATTAAAAAGCATTGCTCTCTATATAACACACAGCACACACTCTGCCTACACCTCTCCAGGGAAATCCTCTCTGGCTAACCAGCGATCATCGCACGATGTTTTTGCACTGGATAATGGCAGTGAGTCACAGGCTGAATTAGATTTTGATCATTTAGAGGGCCGACGAGTGATCGCAGCTAAATTGGAGAATGCAGACGTGAGTGTCTCTCTCTCGGTGTCTCACAAACAGCCGCTGTATGACATTAGCGTTATGATTTAGTGTGTTTGGTGGCGTGCCAGTGAGAGGAGAGAACTGACGAGGCTAATTTACAGGCCTCTGACTGAAGTGCCGTAAGTCTCCTGAGACCGGCGCTAACACACACTCGGATGCCTCTTTAAACACCAAGAAAAACATTAGGGGTCGCTCTGATCAACATTAATATTATACAGACTGATGCAGGGCTTCATTAAGACGGAAACACCTGTAGTTCCTGTGCTGCTAGCGCCTCCTCTGTTGAAGCCAATTATTGTTGCTCTCAACCTGAGAAAAAACAAACAATACACATTATATAGCGCTGTTCAGTTTTAGGACTGAGGATGTAAATATAT